TTCCTGCGATCAATATATTGGCGCCACAATGTTGGCGTCATATAAGTTACTGATCTTAGGCCTATCTGACCACTAAGAATATTTAGCCAGTGTTGGCTAAGATTGTCTTGTCAGTATAAAATTGCAACATTGTGCCAATTCTTGAAATCCATATCTAACCAATCTTGGAAGTAAGTATCGTGCCGAGCTTAAGAGCCAGCGTTGGCTCGATCTAATCATTAAGCATATTCGCCCAGTACTGGCTACTACTGTCGTACCAATATCGAGCCTCGTTTGCCGATATTGACCCAATACTGGGCCGTTCGTCAATTCCTACAAGGGTTGTTACATAAACATATATATGTTGTCAAGTCTTGTGTTCATTTCTTACTGTGTAAAAATATACGTTGTCACGTATCTTATATTTATAACAAATAAAGTGAAAAATGAATTAACTTTGTTTTTTGGTATTTTATCTTTATTAATCTTTGAATATATGTGCGTTCCTGCTGCACTTTCATTGGTACCACTATTTTGAAAGGCCTAATTACTAATAAAAAATGAACTAATAAAAAGATGTTAACGATGTCCAGACTCCGTATTCTAGGGATACTAGTTGACAAGAGAAGATGCCCAAAAAGATTACTCGCTTTAACATAGACTTAATAGGATAAAAAAAATAGTACGTGTATAAATTTCTATATTTACTTAATTAAACTTATTATCCTCCCTATTTATTTAATTAAAAATATTATATTTACTTAATAATTAAATAATTATTATAATTATTATTTAATTATATTTACTTAATTAAACTTATTATATTTTAATAAACAACATTTTATCTAAACAATGAAATTCCAAATAAAGAGGATCTCGCAGTTCTTATTTTCACTGCCTGCGTTGCGCGTGAAAAAAATAAAAAATTAGATCGAAAATGTCGATCGATACTGATAAGTATTCTACGTTCGACAAAATAACTTTTATGATTATTGCAATTTAATACACTTAAATCGTAACCTCTCTGCGCGCTTTTAAACAGCTTCACGTCAAATTCATGTCGGCTGCAGATTGTCGGTTCTTTACGGATCAAAGTACATTCATTTCCGTAGCACATGAAACACACCACCTCGAGGTTATTTCTTAAAATAAAGTTACACATGTAATATTAAACAGAATCACGAACAATTTCCGGCTCAATTTCCTTAATACTTTTATACTTCTTTTTTTTTTCAAAACACACTGGATATCTCTTTGCGAGAAAAAGATTGTGTGGTTTACGTAAACTTGTGTGTTGTCACGTCGAAACGATTCACGCGCGCATGTTTCGTGAATATTCAACAATCTTAAATATTCAACATCGGAAAACAGAGCATTATTCATCCCTCGACTACTCGTCCCGAGCATACATCTATTTTTGTCACTGTAATCCCACCTCCCCCTAATCGGTCATCTTGATTTACGACATCAGAAATGAAGAAATTATTCTCGAGAGCTTCTCGGACACGTACACATTGCTACTGTTGTTTTTTCTCTCATTTTGTTAACTTCGTAACACACACATTGAACACATACGTACATGCAAATAATGTAACATATTTCTTACTCTTCCGCGTAAATTTACTTATTTACTTTTGTGTGTGTGAGCGCAGAAAACTTCTTAATTAAAATATGAAACTTTTACGAACTTTTTACATTACTACAAAATGGTCTATGTATTTACTGTTTAAAAGTTAATATTAAAACTCTCTTCGTTCTCGAGCTCTTTATTTTCTTTTTTTTTTAAACGACTAACTCGGGTGCAAATCTTATCTGACATCGAGTTTAAATCGCGTTAAATCGATGTTACACTTCCCGAAGAGCAATACAAATTAGATTTGCCTTGACAACGTTTCCTACTATCTCACTTTTCCTTGGAATCGCGTTTCCTCTAGCTGCGACACGTTCAGCAGCGTCACAATCGCTCCGAAAGAAGATTGCAAGCTTTAGGCAAAATACATTTCCGCTTAAGTGTGGATTCGCAAAAGAATTGAGAGAAGATCAAGATTAATCTTCCAGAGTAAATCGTATCGCGACGCGATGAGAACGTGTGACAAGCAACTCTGGATATGGGATAAGTTGGCAAATTTGCACGATCGTGTTTAGCATCAAATAACTTTTTCTTTGTAAAAAAAATTATAAGGTAATTATGCCGATAAGGGGAGCAGCTGACCTTGGATTTTGGATGTTACTTTGCGCTTCGTTCTACCTTACTTTTTAATATTCAACGTCAGTTTTATAACAAACGACAGAAATTGATTTGTTCAATATATAAATGTACGTGTGCGCGTAAAGTAAGCAAAATTTACTAAATATATATACGAAATCTGTATAAATATCACAATATTCAAATATATAAGGAAAGCGTATTGCGAGTGACAACGTTAATTTGTCTGATAGAATGAATAATTAATTTATTATATTATCAATTATATACGTACACTCGCATTCTCCGTCTCTCGCAAGACGCGCTCACGACGCGACGGCGGCGTCTTCCGTCGAGAGAAACCTATATCGAATATACACACTGCGCAATAATTAGTGCACCTTTATCGCTATCACAGCAACCACCGTGGTTCCACCATCGTGTCTCTTTCCGAAGCAAGTAGCGCGATGCGACGCGCGTGCGATGTAACACGCGGAAATTAATTAGGAACGGTCGGTGGGCGGATGGCTCTCGCGCGTCTACGCGCGGAACTCGACAGGAATTTTCCATTTACGAATCTACATCTGGATACCATACCCCGGGATTAATGACTACCTGTGTACTGGAAAGCTGTCGCGTTCGCCCGAAATCAATTAACATATTGCGCACTCGCACTAATGGCCGCGTATGCACTCTCTCTCTCTCTCTCTCTCTCTCTCTCTCTCTCTCTCTCTCGTGTAGCGCGCGTCTGTTTCGCCGCAATCAAAGTTTAATTACATGTAAAATAATTTGCTGAGCAATTTTGTTGAGTAATTTGAATTGATCACACTCAACTACCCTGCCTGCAACTCGCACGTCGTCATATATTTCTTCCTGTTTTTCGAACATTGCATCGTATCTTGATCGATCGATATGCCGCGACAATAATAAACAATCTGTATTAGTATGTTATCACACATTATTTGTTTTTGCGTTTATTAATTATATAATGCTACTGTTATTGACTGATTAATAAAGTTGTTATTTACATTATTTACATTATTAATGATTGATGTCACTAAAATAATTTCGACGTGTAGTATAATATGTATGTATGTAAATTAGTGTTATTACTCTTGTGCTGTTGTCAGTATTGTACCGCTACACACGGGTGTAAGATGACCATTATCATTGCTGACGCGCGTTACACGTAGAATATAAAGTCAACATCGCGTCGCGTCAAGATCGATCGACGATTCGTATCGACGAATGATGTCATAGTCGGCGTCGGCGGCGCGGAAATTCGTACAAACTGACACGCGAGTTTTCCGCTTCCCGCGGTTATAATCGACGTGACATTAATTTCAAGCAAATCGAACCACGTCGTGTATCGGATGCACCCGAATTAATTAGCGGTTCCCTATAATCGCGGTAATGCGCGTCGCCGAACATCCTGTAATCTCGCGAAAATTCAATGTATTCGGCGCGATGTGAAATAAACGTGTGTAGCGTGTATTAACGTTTACAAAACGTTAAAATGAAAAACGGAGTTAGGTTCTATTTTATTTTTTATTTATTTATCACTTGAAGGAATTGTTTCTGGGGCGGTATATAAATAAAAGAGTGTTGGAACATATACACATGTGTACTTTCGTACGCAATGCAATGTTTGCGTTTCTTGACGATATTAGTCTGTGACGTTTGTGTATTCGGTCGCCGTTACATTTACATCCGCGTTCCATCGAAATGCACGAACCGCAGGTATATCAGTATTATTGCATTTGCATGTGAAAGCACCTCACGTTCCTATCGCGGAGAATAATTCACCCTACAGTGAATATCTATTCAATACCAACACTGACTATGTTGCGATGATTACCTTGTCAGACGCGTTCTCATCGGCACCATTGCGGCGAAAGTTCTCGCAAGCGTGCGTATACGGTGTGTGTGTTTATTATTGCAACGCAAAATTCACGACTCATATGCCAAAAATGTTAATGCTGACGCATTATTTCCGCATCGCGAGTGCGGAAACTAATCTCAAAAGTAAAAAACGAAATATGTGTTCAGTACAGACAAATAAAGTACATATATACACATTAACGCTGTGACAATAGCGAATCGAATGATGATACACAGCGGCAATATGTGTCATTAAACTGATTGCATTAGTATAAACTTCATTAGCGCGATATGAAATAGTTTGACTACTAATTAACGATATGAAATTACAGTTTGACTACTAATTAACGATATGAAATTACAGTTTGACTACTAATTGACGATACGAAATAACAGTTTGACTACTATAACGGAAATCATGGCAATTATGTCAATACAGTAGAAATTATTTGCTACGTCACGTGCTTGCCGTCCGCATTTAAATCAGATTTGCGCGCACATGCAAACAGAGAACGACGCTCGTGCGGAGATTCCACATGTGATGTGTATAGTTCGAACGGTGAACGTCAGAGATTCACGAAATAGCGGAAAGTCCAAAATCGCATACCAGAAGTCCATAACTGGGATTACTACTGTAAGTTCCATCTATGCGTCGCGCCGAGCCCCTGGCTGGTCCAATTAGTCGAGGGCCGGCGTGTTGAATCCGGAAATTACAATGCGCTGTCGGTGACAGGAGCAAAAAGGAAACGAGTAATGCCGTACGTTCTTCGTAGAAGGCATTCGTTGCCAAATGCTTGTCGAATAGCAGAAACTACTATCGAGAACTCGATCATTGTCCGTTTAAACTGATTGCGTTAAGAAATAAAAAAAATATTGTGGTTTTGAAATCAAAATGTTTGAAAATGTAATAAACGGATATTTCTTATTCTTAATGAAATAATTGTTTTTGTTACAGAACTTGAAGAACCAGATCATGACAACGAATTTGTGGGTCGAACAGGTGAGTGGCAAATGATTTATTTCTGAATATTTAATTGTTAAAACACGAATGTAAATAATACATCGTAACATAACTCATACACACATCGTATTACGCGTATATTAATATTTAAGAAGATGATGAAGCGACAAGTCAAACTCGGATTTGACAGCTGCTTATCTGCTACGCTGTCCAGTAAGTAGCGCTCTCTAATCTCTATTTATTTATACACTCTATTTATTTTACGCTCTATTGTCCCTTAAAAAACGGTTTTTTTGTACAAATATACCTTATAAAATCATCGTGCTCTTTCAGAGAAAGAAGTTTACCTATATAATTTAATTTTATCTTTAAATATTTTAATATGTTTAATTTTAATAACTCATACTTATATGATTTTTTTAAATATTTAATTATAAAATATGTGCGTCAAAATTTTTAAAATTCGTATGTGATTATAAATTTCTAAAATCTTACTTACTATTATTTATTTAAATTTTTAGATGTTAATTTACTTTTTAATTATTATTTATTCATAAAATGATATATTAATGTGATTTTCATCATGTTTTGTTTTATATCTTGATTGGTGGATTCACAACTTTCTCCACAACAATATATTATTATTTTACTTTTGTATAAAAATCTATCATAAATAATACGCGGAATATATCACAAAAATGAGAAAACAGTGAACTTGTGTACAACTCTTCTCTCTCTTCTCTCTCTTCTCTCTATTAGTTTCTACGTTGACCGTCAGTCATCTATAGCGCTATAGCGCGACACATCTTGAATTCCGACATGAAGGTAGCTACTGGCAGTTCATATTTCTATAGTTAAAGAGATGACATAATAAAGACAATGTTATAAACATGTGTGTCTTTCCGGCTAAGTTCTGCTAAAACTGTACTAAGCTAATTCTAGTTCCAAAAATTCTGGTTTGCTGTTTCTTACAAGCTTTGAAGTCTTTTTTTGAAACGTTCAAAATATTCGTTTATGTCTATAGACTGGAAACCTATAAACTTTCGTTTGGAATCATCTACCAATTTTGTATACAAAGTGAAAATGTAGTTCACTTAGTAACGGTCCATAAGCTGTTTTTCGTTTTTCTTGTATTCTTAAGAGCTTTCCATTTTTTAGCATGTTTCTTTCATTCTAAAGAAACATTTTTTATTCTGATTAATAGTTTTTACAAAAAATTGGAACTACTAAATGTGGGTAAAATAGGATAGTTTAGTATCCTTTTAAATGTAAAGTATATTTTAACTCTCTATCGCTCCGTATGTGACTTTGAAGTTACATACCGATATATCGATATTTTTTCAGTCTAATTTCATTTTTAGCCACAATGTATATGCATCTTGTTTTGCCACTTCTCCTTTGTAATTGTGGAGATTATTGTTTGATCGCGATAGTCAAAAAAAACAAAACAAAACAAATTAATTAATAAATAAAAATAAAATCTTTGAAAACTATAATTAATTGTTAATTTATATCTGGAGACTGTAGATTTATATCTGATAAATATATTGGTTTTACGTTACATAAATGTTTTGTCATGGAAGAAATTCGCGGATTAAGAATAAACTTCTTTCCTTGAGTCGCACGCGAAATAAAAAACAAAAAAAAAAAAGAAAGAGAAATGCAAGAACCAATTTGCCACCGCATGTAATCGGGGCTGTTATAGGGGCATTAGAAAAAGAGAATTAAGTAATGGTTCAACCGATGTTCGCGTTTGGGAAACAAGCGGTGTTTTGCTGCTCAAGCACATCGCGGTAACTGCAAATTACTTATATTACGCCGTCTATACATCTAACGGCGCATCTGCGTGACGTAATGGCCCTTTAGCGTAGAATTCTAGGCAGGGAAAAGGCAAGGGAAACAGCCCGACAATGGGTTGTGTGTGCGAGCGTAATTGAAGAATAATGAAGGCGTCGATTAACGTAGCGATTACGGCGTGTTTTCTTTAACGACGCGCAAAACTCTCAAAACATTGTTGCTAATGGTTTCGAAAATGTTACTAACAAGTAAAATATTAGTGCTAGAGATAGCTCCTTTAATTTACAACTTTCTCTACCTATTGCTCTTAATAATATATATTATTATACTTTACTCAAATCCGCGAGATAACAATGTGTGTGTTTTTTTTTTATGTAAATTCTATTTATTTCTAAAATATTTATTTTTTAATTTTTGTTACAATATTTTGCATTTTTCAATAAATTTTTTTAGTAATTACGTTTGGTTGGGAGAGGAAAGAGTTGCTGTGTGTCGCGATAACGTTGTGCACGTATGTTTCTTCAATTACTTCAACAGAATTCACACTCGGAATATCTCGGAGCAGAATGTCACTTTGACGTCGCGTCATGTTTCATAGTACATCCGATAAAATCGCGAAGTACACATATATGTCGGCCTGTCGAAGGCCATTTGTTGTGAAACGACGATTCATATACAAGCATACGGTCCGTTCTGGATGCAGTGTCCTGCTGCTGCATCACGAGTTGCATTTCTGTCTGCACGTGTACATGGCAAAGCATTCTGGGCGCGTCTCACACGGGCGACGCGTCATCCTTCAACGTCGAAACCATCCTTCTAACCCTCACAGATCAACTGGCCCGCGAACATTCTTAATTGCTGTTAGTATAGGCGCGTATCCTCGTCGCTATGTCTCGTCTCTTTTTGTCACTTTTTATTTTCCGTCTTGTGAATAGTTGGATAATTTGTACAAAAAACGTGCATATATACAGGAAAATGCATGCTACATTCAAGTAAATATCACTTGTATGTAAGAAGTTTATACATATATCCACAAATATATCACAAACTTTTCGTAAGCATTCAATTTATTCAAAATATTCTAAATTCTAATAAGTTTAATCACGAATTTCTCAATTTAAAAGAAAAATTTAGTTTACTCATTGCATTGAGTTGATGAAAGAAAATTATATATTGTGACAAAGATCTCATTTTCATTCTTTTCATAAAAAAATCTCTTTTTGTTTTGAGTTAACATTATTTGTTCTGAGATAACAATATTGTCGTGTAAGAAATAGATTAAGAAATGGATTTACTCCAAAAACAGGTTTTTATTTTAAAATGTTGCTTCTTCTAACTATTGCATGGTATTGAAAGAAATATATTTAAAAAAAATTGAATTTTTTCTCTAATCTAATAAATTTTCTTGCATTAATATATTATCAAATATTCACATTACCTCAATCTGCGTGATTTTCGACGAAGTTTTATAACATTCTTGAAGAGAAAATACTTTCTTCTTTTGAGTACGTAATAACAAGCTTTTTAAAACTTTGTAATAAGTATATATTGTATAGATTATTATCAATAAAACATTTATTAACGAAGGTAACTGCTTAAAAAAAATTAAAAAAAATAAACTGAGTAATTGTTTTTCTTAGCAATAGAGAATGATATTTTTCTGTGTGTGAGTAAAAGATATGTAAAAAAATAAAAGAAAAACGATTGATTGTGCATGTATCTGAAATAAATATTGCAATATTTTGTACTAAAGTAATCAATTTTATTTGTTGTTCACACACACTGCATACAATTTCTTTATAGAATATTCTTATATAATACTTCAGAAAAATAACAATAAAAATAACGTAACGTAAGCACTGACTCCGCTTCGAGATAGTTACGAAGAAGTATCGCAATATATATTTTTATGTTACGTAAAATTCTTCAATGTGAAACGCAAAGTTTCTTATGTAATACAAGGAATGGGACATGGCTGTGGTACTTTGAACGATTTATTTCGAAATAACGAAATATCTACCTATGAGAAAGAGAGAGAGGGATTTTTTTGTACGTATGGACAGTTTAAGCCGGTTTAATTTCGCTGCAAAATCGTCTTTGTATATATCGATGGATACGAAATTACTTCTTCTTGCTCGAGCACGAAAACGAATTAAACTACGCGGCAAAATACGTTGCCATCGGCTGCTTCGCAAGCTCGTTTAATTGTGTAAGTAATAGGATTAGAGGAATAATTATTATTATTACAGGATGAACGACACACATAAATGTGATTCAACTGACGTATGAATGCTGTACGATTTATTGGATTACAGTAGAACTCCTCTAATTTTTGAGCGTATAGAACCGATCTTTTCTAGAATCCGAAATTATTTTTTCTCCTTCCAGTTAGCGACCGACTGCTAGCAAGAGACGAAAGATGCATGTTTCTTTTTCTCTTATTGTTAAACTCTTAGAGTAGAGATAAACACGCATTTGAGTTGGGCAATCAGTCAAGATCGGGAAATCATCACTATATAGTTGGTGAACCCTATTAGCCCGTACATAAAAGAGAAGTCAAAATTGTGAAATTTTAAACGGTCATAGGAGTCTTATGCTGGGTGTTTGTTGCGTAATAAATATATGATATATATATATATATATATATGTTTATATTATACTTTACGTGTAAATTTTACACGTGAATTTGAAATGAAATTTCAATTTCTAAATTTATATAGGATGTTTTATCACTTGCATCACGTATATGAGATATCTTTGTTTACCTTCTATCTAATTTTAAAACGTAATCATTAATTAAAAATGCAGTATCATATATTTGCGTTTCGATAAGAATTCATTTCACTCGAGACTGTTATTTTATCGATGTTTTCGTCGATAATTCATGAATTTGCGTTTCATGAAAAGAAAATGAGATTCAAGTCTTTTCTTCTTACGCGGCTTGCCGTCGACAGGTGGTGAAACTGATATCGCGAGTGAGATTTTGGATGGTGAGGGCTTATCCGTAACAGGGAAAGAGAGCCGTGTTCTTTTGAGCGGCTCAGGAGGGTAGTAGTCAATACGTCGAAAATAAATTGATAGCAGAGCGGCACAACGTCGTCGACCTTCTAGTATCAGCAAACATCTCGCTTGCACTTTCGCCCCAATATATTCGACTATCTTTTTTTTATCTCAATGTTCGCGTATTACTTTCTTACAAACGTCATTACGAATTTCGTCTCTATATTCTTCGCATCGCTGTG